CTCTACCCGGTGCTGCAGCAGTGCCTTGTTCGCGCAGCTCGTCGAAGGGGCGCCGCCGTCCCGCCCTGAAGCCGAGGCCTGAACAACGGCTTTCGCCGCGGCCCGGGCTGCCTCTGCCCCAAAAGGACCTGCGCCGCCGGCCTCCTAACCGCGCCGAGCTCAGAAGGTGGAGCACAGGAGATGTGGAGAGAGAGAACGGATGTGCCGACAGCAGCATAGATAAGGTTTTCTACAAACTATTCCTCGTTAAAGGAGCTTTGCTACTTGAGCTGGCTCCCAGCCACAACCCCGTTGAGGAAACCTGTGAGAGCAGCCCGACTCCCACGTTGGAAAGGACTTCAGTTGGACTCACCTGAAAAATGACACCTGGAGCCGTGGTCTTGTGAAAGGTGGACCCCTTCAGGCTGCCACTGTCTCCCTCGCGTGTAAACGGGGCTACTCTAGAGAGGATGGGCGAGGGTCTGTCTGTGCCTTCTTAATATTTAATGTCTGAGCTAAAAGAAGAACCTTTTTATACCGGAAAAATGTCTTTCGTTGTAGTTTTTGGTGTTAAGATTTATGACTTAGGCTCTTCTGAGCTGGGTCATGTGTTCTTGGACCCCATCTCAAGAGCGTGTGACGGAGCTGCCTTAAATATTCCTGCCACTTAGTGGGCAAGAGACAGGCTAAATTACTGAAGCAGCTGCAGGGGTTAATGTGGGAAACTGCTTTGGAGGAGGAGAAGCTGCTGAAACAGGAGAGAAGGGACAGTTTCGTGGTATGGAACAGTCTGTGTTTACCCCAGCCCCTGGTTTAGTGCTGCCCAAGACCACAGCTCAAGGTTGGGTACCTGGTAAAGGTTGTGCTCTGGGTGGAAGCTAGATCCCATCCTTTTCTGCCCACCAAACCAGAAAGGAGGTTAAAGGAGGCTTTAACCGCTGCTGGTGAAAAATGGGGTTCCAGGCTTGACTTCATCATCTGGTTCCTCTGTCTACCCTCAGCTCCCTGGAGGCCCTGAGAGGCATGGGCTGGGGAGATGGCAGGTGAACTTTCCACACTGAGAGTTCCCGGATATTGGGATGGTAGACACAGCCCTGTTCTAGGGCAGAGCTGACCGACCCCAAGGTGGAGTCTTCCCTGGGTGGCTGAGTTCTGCTGGTGGGTTCTCAGGGGTAGATCAGAGTGGGTAAACTGTTTTTGAAAAGACAGCAGCCTTATCTGCACCCCAGTTTGGTACGAGTGTCTCAAGGGCTCACCTTCTACAGGACGGGCAGCCCAAGGGCCAGAATGTTCTGGAGCCACAAATAGGAACTCCTGACCAAGAAGAAGGGTACATTTTAATTTTTTCCAGAGCAGGTCTGGGATACACAGTATACTAATGAAAGACAAGGTCAGAACATGACAAAGAATGCTACCACTCTTTTGAAGGATGGCTGTGTAGGGTGGAGTCTGGAAGCAAAGGGCTGGGGGGTGCTGCACTGTGGACCTTTAAGGTCTACAGCTCAGTGTTTGAATGGAGGATCACAAGCATTTCAACACCGGTTGAAGAAAGCTGGGCCGGCTGCTGTGATTGGAGACGTGGGGCAAGGAGGGGATCCGCCAAGGCAGTGACTGCATTCGGAACGGCTGGTGGTGCTCTCCCGTGCCTCGGCTTTGTGAGGATGGGGAGCCTCCCTATCCTGCCAGCCCTAGGATTCTGGAAACAGCCATCAAAGATAAACCCAACACTACAGAGAGGCTTTCCAACTGAGAGGGCTGACCCATGCCTCCTCTTCCATTGTCCTGGGTGCTCAGGTTGCTTGGGTACTGCTGGGAGGCAGGGGGCCAACCAGGAAGGGTTCCCACCAGTGGCTACTGGCTTCCCTCCTGGTCAGATGCTTGGTTCTGCACCTGTAGAAGAAAACAAGCAGAGGGGGCAGGGGGCATAGTACAGCTGGAAAGAGCCACCTGCTAACATCTAGTTCCACAACCCTATGTCTTGGGAGGTTTGGCAGCCCTGGGGCCACTCTAGATTATCTTCTTGCAAGTTAAAGGTATGAGGAATGAACTGGGGCCTGATGCATCCTAAGTGCATCTTCTACTACTGAGCTGCATGCCCAGCCCCTTCAGTGTTCTGAGATGTGGGATCCTGCATTTCCATCTAGCCCATTCTTTTCCCAGAGCAGTGCTGCTCAGGCCCTGGGCAGCAGTGAGGGCCATCTGAGCCCAGCAGGCCAAGGACTCAGCTGGGCATGGGGAAAGAGGGACTTCACTGCCAACCCCCATGCCCTAGCCTTGCTGGGAGAGCCCAGTGGGCAGTGTGACGGTGGCCCACCTTCCAGACGGCAGAGAGTGGAGGTTGGGGAGTACAGAACTCAGAACATCAGTACAGAATTTGATGCTGCATAAAGGGCCCTTCACAGTCCCAGGGTTGGGCCTTCTCCATCCAGGAATCCCTGTGTGCCACACCCTGGGAGGTCCGTGCTGTGAGGACAGTTTGAGGACCCTGGGGCAGTATGAGGGTGGGGCTGGGGAGAGGACAGAAATGGAGGTTTAACCAATTTACCAAGTGGTTCTTATGCAAGGGATTTAGGGCCATGGAACACACCTGTGAGACTTCCTCTACAGTGTTTAAACTTCCTGTCCCCTGCCTTCCAGAAGGAGACATTTCAGCCCAGAACTGACCCAAGTGCCAAGCTGCCTGGTAGCACCCCCTAGTGCTGCTGGCCCAAAGTTGAGACAAACAGCAAGGCAGGGTCCAACCTTCATGTGAGCATTGCTCTGGGGTAGAAATCCCATGTTTTCCCCACAGGAACCTGCACAAACGTAAGTCCTTCCTTGCTTACCCGGAGGCCATAAGGACCCAGTATGAGAAGGTAGGGAAAGAGGCGGGACCAGTCCACTCACCACCTGCTCTGTGGCTGTCCTTCCCTCCAGAGGGGTCCTCTGGCTCCTGGACTCCTGTTGGGCCTCAGTAGCTGGGCGTGAGCAGCACTTGTTACCAGGGACCCTGTTCTCCTCAGTGTCCTTTGTCCCTGTGCAGAATATCACCAGTTACCAGGGCATGGTGGTGCACACCTGGAATCCCAGTACTCGGGAGGCTGAAGTAGGAGTATCACCACCACAAGTCCAAGGCCAGCCTGGGGTACAGAGTGAGACCCTGTCTCGTTAAAAAAGAAACAAGTAACTCTCCAGTTAATGGCCAAGCTCAGAGGGCCCAGAGGACTCCCTCAGGGACCCAGAAGTGCTGTAGAGCTTGAGAGGACAAGAGGCAGATGGGCTAGGACACAGCTGTGACTCCTGATAGCTACTGAGTGTGACAGACAACCCAGAACCACGAGTCCCCCAGCCAAGGAACAGGCAAAAGGAGCCCAAGGTACACTGAGGAGGGGAGGCCTGCAGACAAAGCACCATCAGTCCCTTTGGCACCCTGACATGTTCAGAGGCAGGAAAAGCTGGGGCCCGCTGGGAATATGCCCTGGGCCCTCCCTTGGGGCCTGACCTGCAGCCTGGGCCCTGTTGTGGTCCATGTGCTCCAGACTCTCCAACAGCCTGTCCACCTGGGCTTTGATCTGGCTGAGCTCCCCCTGGATGGAGTGTAGCTCCTCGGTCCGCACTGTTGGGGAGACGCCAGCGTTGGTGCCTGCAGAGCCCTCAAAGGCCAAGAGCACGGCTCCCAGGGCTCCTGGGCCTGCTGTCACTTCACATGAGCCACCCAGCTCCTCCCAGCAGCTGTGGTAGTACTTACGCTTGACCTGCTCGGGGGGCAGGTATCTGCTCCTAGAGGACTTGTAGGGGCTGCAGCTGCTCTTGACCCCCAGACCCATGAAAGTCCTTCGGAGATTGCCAGGCACTTGGTTGATGAGTGGGGGGATCCCCTGGCATCCATACACTCTACAGGGACAGGACAGAGGAGGAGTAAGGCCCCCCAGCCCCATGGGCTCCCCTGGGGACATGGGTCAGGTGCACGCACCTGCAGGGGGCGTCTTCTCGGCGCAGCTCGTAGTTCAAGCCATAGTTGCTGCTGCTGCTGTGGAGATAGAGTAAATGGGAAAGGAGTGTGTGTCATTGTCCAGGGCCAGAGTCTTCTTGGTCCCCAGCTGAATTTGGGGAAACTGAAGTATGCAGCTCTTCCTTAGGGTGCCAAGATTTTCCACTGGAAGACCCCAGGGACTCCCAGAGTTACTCCTGAGACCACAGCCAAGCAGCTTTCCCCTGCTTGGCTTCTGGTAAGGGATCCCTCCCTGTGGTTCCAGGTGGCAGGATGGGGACAGTTGCCTCCAAAAGCTCCACTGCCTAAGCCAGGCACTATGGATCCGAGTCTGGCAAAGGATGAAAGGGGAGAGTTAAAGTCAGAGCCCAAAGCCAAGGTGAGTGTAAGAGCCATTAATCCGGGTGTGGGAACTGCCAGGGTGCAGGGCCAGCAGACAAGGTCAGGACTGTCGCCAGGCCACCTGCTCCTTGGCTGCAGGCCCTGGAAAACCATGACCTGGCCTCCAAATGGTCCCAAGCTCACATAGGCCAGCCTCACCCTTTTCACAGGCTCCGAGCCTCCAGGACACTAGTGCAGGAGGGGTGTGGGATCCGTGCTTTCAGAAAGACAACTGGGTCCCTCCAGCCTGGGAGGAAGGGGGTCCCGGGCGCTGGGGCTGGGCAGGAGGCAGTGAATTGGGGGAAGGGAAAGGGATCCATGCGGGAAGGTAAAATTCTGAAATGACTCTGTGGGACTTGTAAACCCCGTGGCCAGTTGAGGGCCAGCCCAAGAGGGGCCCCAACGGAGGAACGCTGACCCCTCCCATGCATCCCGCAGGGTCCCCAGAATGCAGGCGAGGTTTCAGGCCAGCCCCGTTTTCCGGCCCCAGGAGATCTGGACGGGCGACGGGAAGTGCGGGACTGCGGCGCTCATTCTGATCTCAGGAAGAGGAGAAAGAAAGGCAGCGGGCAGCTCTAGGGGAGGGAGGGCTGCGACGCCTTGCCCGCCTGGCGCTGTGGGGTTGAGGCCAGGCAGAGCGCCAGGAAACTACTCCAAATTTGATTGAGCAGAAACCGGACCCAAGTGGTGCTTCCCGCCGACCACCTGGGGCACCGGGTGAGGGAAGGACTCCCTGTAGCATTGGTGGTTCAGTGGTAGAATTCTCGCCTGCCACGCGGGAGGCCCGGGTTCGATTCCCGGCCAATGCACGTGCTGTTTTTTTTGTCCTTTAGGTTTCCCAAATTGATTTGTTTTAAGTGTACTTCTAAGAGTGAGCAGGGACGAACACTTTAAAGTAACAGGATTTTGTCAACTGCTTCCCACTTTGAGACAGGCTGGATGGAATGGAGTCAGGGAGCTTGCGTTCATACTGTTGCAGGCAGGGATCCCTCCAGTTTAAGGGCCACCCTACCCTCCTCTCCTTTGCCAGTACTGGGGCCTGAGTCCCCAACAGGTCCCAAGAGGGTGGCTTGTTTACACCAGGGCAGGCTGCAGCTGCCTCCTGGTCAGGGCTGATGGTCACAGCCTGCAAGCCTGGGACTTGCACCAGAAGCAAACCAAAAGGCCGGGTTAGAAGCCGTTCAGGAGCCCAGTGCCTGGCAGAGCCCTGTCCCCACCAGTTCCTCCCTGGGGACCATCCCAAGAGGGCCATCGATATCACCACAGCCTCCCACCATGCTACCCAGTATCGGAGGAAGCACTTGGTTGTACTCACTGGAGTCCTCGGGGCATAATGAGGCCTGGAGGAGGTCACCAGTGTCCCTTGAATGCCAGGGACCCCTCTGAAAGGGCTGCTACAGGCCTGTTCCCTCCCCATCTGACTGCACCCCACCATGGACAACCCCACCCCAGGGAGGGTGGACAGGGCTAACGGAATGTGCTGCTGGAAGGGTTGAGATGAAAACAGGAAATCTGATGAGGGCAACTCAAACTGTAGAACTGAAAAAGCGTCATTTAATCTCAAAAATGGGGGCTGGGGATTTAGCTCAATGGTTCTTCCACCTGCCTAGGAAGTGCAAGGACCTGCATTTGTTCTGTTTGATCCCCGGTACAAGAAAAAAAAAAAATACTAACAAAAATGGCCCTTTATTGGGCCATGGTGGCACAGGCTGTAATTGAAGTACTTGGGAGCTGAGGCAAGAAGATCTAAACTGAAGTCCTGCCTGGGCCTTTCAGTGAGACCCTGTCTCAAAATAAAAATTAAAAAAGCATTGAAGATATAGCTTAGTGGCAGAGCACTCACACTGATAAATGGGAGGCGGCCCTGGATTTCACCCCTCTTTGGCATCCCCCCCCAAAAAAAAATTGTTTTTCTTTACATTTCCTGAGCAAGATGTTATCCAGAAAGGTTCTCATTTACTGCCTCCTAAATATCTATACCTAGCGAAAGCCCCAAGGTCCACAGGCGAAGCTCCCCAAGAGAGCTCTGGCCCTGGGCAGGCAGAGGCACACCACTCCCCATCAGCAGGATGGCTTTGGTTATGTCAGCTGGGGGGGCACCCAGAATGTGCCGTCCACTCCCCCAGTTTACAGACAAAACCTGAGCCCAGGGGACAAGGGAACCTTCTCACAGGGCTCACAACCTGAGCCATGTGCAGCCAACATACTTAGGGAGCCTGTGGGGTCCTTGTCCTGCCTCAGGGAACCCACACGAGCCAGCAGCCAGCCTCCCTTCCAGGGAGGCCCTGGACAGACTCACCGGAAGCCGGCTGTGTCTTGGTGTCTCTTCTGTCCTGGCTGGCCAGGGCCGGGCCTGGGCTCCCCAGCCATGTCCAAATCTAAAGAGAGCAAGAAACAGTGCAGGGGACAAAGAAAGGGGTGCAGGGGAAGCGACAAATACACACGGGGCCCTGCCCTGCTCCCAAGCTCCGGGGGGAGGCACAGCTCCTGTCCTGCAGATGGACACCCTCGCTTGGTCTCTGATGGACCGTCACCCAACCTAGGATTGGGCTAGGGCTCCCAGGGTCATCTCCTACACAAGAAGACAAATGAGCCTTTGGCAGGTTTCCAAACAAAGCTATCTCATGGCCGAGACCCAGACCCACAGTCAGAATCATCCCCTTGCCCAGCCCTAAATTTGGGTAATATCTTCATTGGGGAGGGAGAGGATACCTGGGAGGACCCTCGAGCGTGATGAGCAGACACCAGGCCTGGTCTAGGTTAATTCTCCAGTGTCCTCCTGCTACCTGCCTGGGATGGACAGAGAGTGTGCCCGGCCACCTGTGCTGCCCGCCCACTGCCAGGCCCACGGCCCACACCCAGCCCTGTGCTAATCCTGTGCTGGCTGCTGCCTCTGCTGAAAGAGCCCAGCGTGGCTCAGAGGAGAAGCAAAGTGAGCACTTTCTACAAAAGAGTCTCAAGTTCGCAGTGCTCAGATGAACAATCTCCCTGATTATTCACCATGGACGCACAGAAGGGGGAGGGACCTGGTACAAGATGTGACATCTTGGCCCCCTCATTGGCCCTCTCTCTGGGCTCCAGTACTCAAAGGTCTCTCTCCTCTCACACCCGACTCGTAAGCAATTAGAGAGGACAGTGATGTTTTTGGAAATCTTATTAAAGTGAATTTGACACATCTGAAATTCAAATTAGAAGATTTATGGTTACCAATTAGTTAAGTGTTACCAGGAGACTTTTTTTTTTTTTTTTTTTTTTTTTTCGAAATTTTTTTTTTTTTTTTTTTTTTTGATTCCGGGAATCAAACCCAGAAAGTGTGCTTATGAGGCAGGCATGGTGCCACTAAGCTAAATCTTCAGCCCTGGAGACACTTTTTTAAAAAGAAAATACAGCTAGGTATGACTTTGTAATCCCAGCACTCTGGAAGACCAAGGCAAGAGAATTGCAAATTTGAAAGCAGCCTGGCTGACTTAGCAAGATCTTGACTCAAAATAAAATTTAAAAATTCTAAAGGGCTGGGGAATGTAGTTCAGGGCGAAGGCGCTGGGTTCAATCACCTGTACTGGGAAGGAGGAGGAGGAAGAGATAGAGGAGGAAGAAGAGAAGAGGAAGAAGAGGAGAAAGAGGAAGAAGAGGAAGAGGAGATACAAAGGAGTCCTAATTTCTGCAGGCCAGTTTATAGTGATATCCTGAGGTCAACGAAGCAGAGAACAAGGCTTCATGAGGACCACTATCCTGCGGTTGCAGTTTTGGTTGCACTGGCACGAGGTGCTGCTGGCAAAAGGACCACGTCTCCACTTAGTGTGGGTGGAGGGTTCCCTGGGACATGGTGCTGGCTGCATGAAGTGGATTGAGAGGAGCAAAGAACTTGGGCAAACGGGAGGAGGGTGCTGAGGACCACCCTGGGTTCCCCCTTACCATCTGGGCAGAGGTGCACGGGGTGCTAGGCCTGAGACCAGCCCCAGATTTGCTGTGACCTGGGGAAAGCAGCCAGCTGGTGGTTACCCTGCTTGGGGTTGGGATCTGCAGCAATGTCTGAGGTCAGATCTGGGGTGGGGTGGGCTGGGGATTTAGCTCAATGATTCCGCTGCCTGTCTCGCAAGTGCAAGGACCCAAGTTTGATCCCTGGTACCAAAAACAAAAAAACAAACAAAAAAGATCTGGGTTGGGGAGAGGAACCACATGGTTGCTAGTAGAACCAGGGGCTGACCCTGAGGGCAACATCCAGGCCCAGACTGTGGGTCCTCTGCTCCAGGATCCCTGGTATTTAATGATGCCAAGAACAGGTAGGACCCCATCCCCATATTCCCAAATGCAGGGCAGGCTTTGTATGTGTGCACAATGTGTGATCTGGAAAGCAAGACATTTGCAACTGTTCTGGGAACAGAAGGAATGAAAGAAGCAGCGCTTTCTGGCTCCGGGAACCCAAAACATGTATGAGTAGTGTATGAATTTTTGTTTTGAATTGGGTAGTGACACACATCTATATCCCAGCACTCAGGTGGTTGAGGAAAGAATATTGAAGCAAGTTCAAGGCCAGCCTAGACCACATAGTGAGTTCAAGGCCAGCCTGGAATACATGGTGAGATCTTGTGTAAATAAATAAGTTTTCATTTTGAGAGAGGGTCTTGCTTAGTTTCCAGATGGGCCTCGAATCTGTGATCCTCCTGCCTCAGCCTCCCTAAATGCTGAGATTCCAGGAATGAGCCACCAGGCCTGGCTCACGAAATAATTCTTCTTTCAGGTCTTTTTCGTTCACCTACATCTTAGAGCACGACAGCATTCTGCTCCATACAGGGGACAAGGTGAGGAATCTGCCACCTTTCTATCCTCTCCACCGGCTCAAGGCAGGGTAGGGAGGAGCTGCTCGATCGGCTCCAGGTGGCCCCAGAAGGACTTCCTAAGACACTCCCTCCTTCCCATCTGCTGTGACTCTGGGCTGGGGAGGACTTGAGTAGGACTGTGAGCAAATGGGAGTATAATGAATGACAGCAGATGACTGAAAGACAGGAGGTAAGCATTAAGGTGGGAGGAAAGCAGAATGAAACAGAGACCAAGCCAATGTAAGAACAATGTAAGAGAAAGAAGTGGAAAGAGGTGGACACGTCCAAAAACTGGCCCCTAGAGTTCATCAAGCAGCCTCCCAGGCACATTTCTCTGAATTCATCAGATCAATACAAAGTAGTTAATTTATTTCCCCAGTGTTCCCTGGAAAAAAAACGAAAGGGTAGATCATCTCCAATATTGAAGGCTGCAAGCAGCGTTTAACAGTGAGTGACTGGCTCTTCTGATCAGAAGACCCACGGGCCCTAGCTGATGACAGGAAGAAGCAGCAACTCAGTCTTTGGTGGCGGCAGCAGTAGCAGCTACATCTAGCTTTCAAAAATGGTGGCATTTCTGTCCCACTTCTGTGGTGCCTCCTCCATGCCGTGTTGTGTGATCTCTTCCAGATCTGATTCTCCAACCCTTTCAGAGTTTCTGAGCTGACAAGTATCTTCCACGAACTTACTTTTACTTGGAGTGGCCGGAGTTAGTTTCTGAAGTTTAAAGCTAAGAATTTAGATCAATACAAAAATAGGGCCAGGAGCTCTAAACAAGAAGTGGCCAGAGGACACTGAAAATCCAGCTAGTATTAAGGAATGGGACTGTAGCAGCCAGTGACCTGCCATGGTGAGACAGTTAATCCTGTGGTCCCCTAGAACAATGCACCAACAAAGGCAAGGCTTTGAGGGGCTTAGTGGATCCTGCCATAGAAAAGTACAAAGGGTGGCATGGCAGCACATGCCTGTAATCCCACATCCTGGAAGAATGGACCACAAATTCCATTTCAGCCTGGGCAAGTGAGCCACTTATTGAGATCCTGTCTCAAAATAAAAACACATTTTGTTGGCAGAGTGGGTTAATTATGGCCATAGGAAGGCAATGCCCAAAGGATGCCTCCATCTTTGGTTACCCTAGGCTGTGAAGCTAAGATTTTTTTCTGTGCATGGCCTGCAGGGAACACTTGCCAAGTGCACCACAAGCCAGTCCCCAGGGTGCATGAAGATAACATGTTTACATCCATGTTTATATTTTCCCTTTAAAGATTTTATTAAAAAATTTATTTTTTTTCATAATGTGCATAATATTTTAGTATACTACAGGGAGACAGTTCATAAGTAATACATAAAAACATATTGGAGGGCTGCGGATTTAGCTCAGTGTTTCTGCCGCCTGCCTTGCAAGCACAAAGACCTGAGTTTGATCCCCGGTACCAAAAAAAAAAAAACCCAAAAAAACACAACATATTGGAAGCTGGGAGTGGTGTCACACACCTGTAATCCCAGCATTCGGGAGGCTGAGGCAGGAGGATCACTGTGAGTTCGAGACCAGCCTGGGCTACACAGTGAGTTCCAGGTCAGTCTCACTACATAGTGAGACCCTATCTCAAAAAAAAAAAAAAAAAAAAAATGGAGGCATAAGTTCAAGTTTTTTGATTTTTTGAGGGTACTGGGGATCAAACTCAGGAATTTTTGCTTGTGTGGCAGATGGCAGAGCCACTGAGCTAAATCCCTGATCATTAGCTCAAGTTTTTATAGATAGATGTTTGCAATCAAAATATACAAAAAGTGTAACAAGTTGCCAGGTTTATATCCAAGAAAGCACTGGAAAAAAATATGCAGACCACACAGCTGTCATCTCGGCAGCATTCAGAGGATGAGGCAGGAGGAGAACAGCAAGTTGGAGAAGTTGGAGGAGGCCAGCATCAGCTTCATATACTCCTTCTCCCCCCACCCATACTGGGGATCAAACTTAGGACCTTGTGTTTGTGAGGTAGGTGCAGTACCCCTAAGCTAAATTCCTGGCAAGCTACATGGAGAGTTCAAAGCCAGCATGAACTACATACTGAAACTGTATTAAAAAAAAAAAAAAAAAGAGAGAGAGAGAGAAAAGCCTTGTTTTCTAGAACCACATTTTAGAACACAAGCTTGAGCCAGAAGGGATCCCAAGGGGTCCTCTGCCCAGTTCTGGAAAAACTTTAGTTCTTCCTCCAGGGAAGCCCAAATATGTCTTGTTGCAAGGTACATTCCTCTCTCTCTCTCTCTCTCTCTCTCTCTCTCTCTCTCCCCCACGGACAGAAGTTGTTGTTCCTACTGCTGGTTTAGACTCGCCTAGCGGGCTCCCTTGTCTAATATCTCTGGAAGATAAACAAACAAGGAAGGAACATTTTTTGAAAGGCTACTGGCATAAGAAAGCCTTTTCTGCGCTGGAGGTGCCGGGGATTGAACCCGGGGCCTCGTGCATGCTAAGCACGCGCTCTACCACTGAGCTACACCCCCGTTGAGCAGCCTCAGCGACCTAGCTCCAATACACATTTTCACTAGTCACTTCTCCAATACTCGAAGGAAGCAGTACGAACGTTTATAGCTCCTGGGGAAAAAACACACCCTGGCCTGAGTTTACCAGATAAGGGAAAATAAATTTCTCAGATAAAACTCCACAGAAATAGACACAGCATGGGTCAGGGCTTGTAAAATTTCCAGAACTTATTACGGCGATCCATCATGAGGTGCAACATCTTTACCATAAATAATAATTTATCCAACACGTGCTTATGGCCTAATCTGTACTTTTTCCTGGGAATGTTGCCCGATCCCGGATAGAAAAGCCAGGAGCGCCGGGGAGAGGCAGCGCCTCAGGCTGAGCCCTGCGCTCCCCGATTCTGCCTTTGGGTGCCAGGTCTCCGGCCGTGGGAACCGCAAAGGAGATCCCTCGGTGCGGGCCGAGGTTGTTCTCCCGAATTCGGCGTCCACACCTGTGCGGACCCGGGAGGCGACCCCGCCCCGCCGACTCGGGACAGCACCTGTGGGAGGGTCCGGG